TTACCCTTCCCCCTCCCCATATCTTCAAGTCCATTCTCTAGTAGGTCTGTGCCTTTATTCCTGTCTTACCCCTAGGTACTTCATGACATTTTTTTTTTCTTAGATTCCATATATATGTGTTAGCATACGGTATTTGTTTTTCTCTTTCTGACTTACTTCACTCTGTTTGACAGACTCTAGGTCCATCCACCTCACTACAAATAACTCAATTTCTTTTCTTTTTATGGCTGAGTAATATTCCATTGTATATATGTGCCATATCTTCTTTATCCATTCATCTGTTGATGGACACTTAGGTTGCTTCCATGTCCTGGCTATTGTAAATAGAGCTGCAATGAACATTTTGGTACATGACTATTTTTGAATTATGGATTTCTCAGGATATATGCCCAGTAATGGGATTTCTGGGTCATATGGTAGTTCTATTTGTAGATTTTTAAGGAACCTCCATACTGTTCTCCATAGTGGCTGTATCAATTTACATTCCCACCAACAGTGCAAGAGGGTTCCCTTTTCTCCACACCCTCTCCAGCATTTATTGTTTCTAGATTTTTTTGATGATGGCCATTCTGACTGGTGTGAGATGATATCTCATTGTAGTTTTTATTTGCATATCTCTAATGATGTTGAGGATTCTTTCATGTGTTTGTTGACAACCTGTATATCTTCTTTGGAGAAATTCTATTTAGGTCTTCTGCCCATTTTTGGATTGGGTTGTTTGTTTTTTTGACATTGAGCTGCATGAGCTGCTTATAAATTTTGGAGATTAATCCTTTGTCAGTTGCTTCATTTGCAAATATTTTCACCCATTCCAAGACTTTTTAAACTTAAACTTGCTGCCATGGAGCCAGCAGAGGGCAGTGCTGCAGAGCTCCCCAGAGCTGACTGAAGATGACAGGAAACTTGTTTTCAGACTTCAGTCCACATGAGGCTATTCATGGTAAGAACTTTAGGCCAATGCTGGAATATCTTCTTTGCACAAAGACAAAGGATTGAGTTCACTGATAATCATCCCACTAACTTTTGAAATATATGAGGGTCTGAGGAACACATGAGAATCAGGCTTGATCCCTGTACTAGAACTCTCAGAGAAGGAATTATCTTGGCCGTAGGGTATGAGGCATCCTCGAGGCAAACATGGCTTCATGGGCATGTGACCTAAGCAATCAAACAGGGCCCTATGCTCAGAAGGCTGCTGCACTTGGTTTAGTACTCTGCTGTCACCATCTTGAAATTCTTTCTTTTCCCTTTTTTGTAATTTAATTTTTATTTTATATTGGGATATAGTTGATTTACAATGTTGTGTTAGTTTCAGGTGTACTGCAAAGTGAATCAGTTATACATATAAGTATATCCATTTTTTTCAGATTCTTTTCCCATATAGGTTATTACAGAATATTGAGTAGAGTTCCCTGTGCTATACAGTAGGTCACTGTTGATTATCTATTTTATATATAGTAGTGAGTATATGTTACTATATGTAACATAGTGAGTTTATGTTATTCCCAAACTCCTAAATTATCTCTCTTCCCCACTTTCCCCCCCGCCGGCAACCACAAGTCTGCTCTTGAAGTCTGTGAGTCTTTCTATTTTGCTAGTAAGTTCATTTGTATCATTTTTTTTTAGATTCCACATATAAGTAATAACGTATGATATTTGGAGTTGAAATTCTTAATAATTTTATCTTTCAACTTGTGTTTTAAGTGAAGTCCATTGAGACAAGGGAGCCATACACATGAGCAGGAGATGTGTGCACTATGCATGTCAGTCACTGTTCCTTGTGGCCTCATTCATGGTACCGTATGAGTGCAGAATCCAGTGGATGCACAATGCACAGGAGTTCAGTGAGACTCAAAACGAGTACAGAGGAATTGTGTTACGGAAGCCACTGGCTTCCATAGAGTGCTGGTAGAATGTGTGTGGATGTATGAGCTATGAAATATGAACTGAGTAATTTTGATGATTCTACATACAAAGTAAATATTCTTGTATTTCTTTCAAAACTGACATTGCACAATATAAACAGTAAAATTCATAGTAATAATTTAAGATTTTAATTTTCCTTTACTTAGAACATCTTTAAATAGCAAGTTAAAAAATACCATCCCAAGTAGAGAGAGTCTGTGGAAGAAAGGAAAAAGCTTCATTTTGGTACATTTAATGTTACTCTTTTCCTGCTTTTTGAACAAGCGGTCCTTCATTTTCATTTTGTACGGAGCCGCACATATTTTGTATCTGGCAATGCCTCAAGGGATGGGAGAGGCAGAGAAGAGTTGCTGCTGGTGAGCTAAGCTATCTAAGGTGGGATTTGCTGCAAGGTTTTAAGTAACTAGAACCCATAGCAATGTGATGCCTGGAGAGGTGTCCCTGTTCCTTAGCAGCCCAGGAATATGCTGATTTGTGATATAAAGTGACATTTCTTTCCTCTTACTACTTTCCCCAGAAATGCTCTTTTATTCCATTCATGTGTATGTGTGCATGCATGCCTGTGTGTGTGTGTGTGTTTCTCCCAACAAAACCTCCTCCTCTGCCAAAATAAAGTGAAGGAAGAGGGGAGGACACTGCATACAGAAAAGAGATCTAGACAGCCTGATTGGAGGATACAAGCTGATCAGAGGTCAGTTTGGAATTGGACTGCAGGCTAGGCTGAGAGAGAAGAGAGAGTGTGTCTTAGGGAGCCCAGGTTATCTTGTTGTAACAAACAAACCCAAACTTTCTTGTCATGCATGTCCAATGCAGATCAGACAGCCGGCTTCCAAGCAATGGCTTGAACCGAGGCTCCTTGCATTATGTGGTTCCACTTCTGAGTCCCTCACTTTCTGTTACATCAATTCTACCCACATTCTATTGGCTAAAACCAGGTACAGGGCCCCAGTTAGATGAAATGGGAGCTGGGAAAAAGAGTTTTTCTATTGGCTGATGTATTAGTCAGGGTTTTCCCGAGAAACAGAACCAGTAGCATACCACACACACACATTTAAAGAGATTTACTATGAGGAATTGGCTCATGCAATTATGGAGGTCTACAAGTCCCAAGATCTGAGTTAGCAAGCTGGAGACCCAGGAGAGCTGATGGCGTAGTTCCAGTCCAAGTCCGAAGGCAGGAAAAACCAAATGTCCCAGGTTGAAGGCAGTCAATTAGGAGGAGTTCTCCCCTACTTGTGGGAGCATAAGCATTTTTGTTCTTTTCCAGCCTTCAACTGATTGGATAAGACCCACCCACACTGGAGAGGATAATCTGCTTTACTCAGTCTACTGATTCAAATGTTAACCTCACCCAGAAACACCCTCAGAGACACACCCAGAATAAGGTTTGACACATAAAATTATTAACCATCAAAGTCCAGAAAGAAAATGAAAGGGTTTGTTGAACACACAGTATTATCTCTGCTACAGAGGTGATGAGGGGAGGGGGAGGTAAGGCTGATTTGGTGTAAAGAGAAAGTGGTCTGTGGTGGAACTGTTCATTGAAAGGGAAGCACATCCTTTAGTGACCCTCTCAGCTCCAGACCCATGGAGAACCTTAGAGGAGGAGAACATACAGCAAAAAATCCTGGTGTTATGTCGATGGTGGGCCTGGTAGCTCTTACCTTCCTATAATGAAAGACCCTGGTGACAGCATTTAGTCGATTTGATGGTTTTTTGGATCTCAGGACACAACTAGGACGTGAAGAGCTGCCCACACAGAAACAATGGTGAAAAGAGGAGGAGAGGAAACTCAGCTCCCAATAAGAGGTTTGGGAAGGACCCTCTTTATGTGGTAAAGCTGGATGCTCTATATATATGGAATCTAGAAAAATGGTACTGATGAATGTAGTGGCAGGGCTGAAATAGAGACTCAGACATAGAGAATGGACTTGTGGACACAGGAGGGGAAGGGGAGGCTGGGATGAAGTGAGAGAGTAGCATTGGCAGATATCACTGCCCTATGTAAAATATAGAGCTAGAGAGAAGCTGCTGCATAGCACAGGGAGATCAGCTTGGTGCTTTGTGATGACCTAGAGGGGTGGGATAGGGAGGGTGGGAGGGACGCCTAAGAGGGAGGGGATATATGTATACATAGAGCTGATTCACTTTGTTATGCAGCAGAAACTAACACAACATTGTAAAGCAATTATACTCCAATAAAGATGTAAAAAAATCAGGGCAAAATAAAAAAAAAAAGCTGCATACTCAGTTTGTGGGGAGTAAGCCTGACACCACCTTCCCAGGAAACCTAATAAGTATGTTCCTCACAGAGGCTAGAACAGGCAAAACACTGAGAAGGAGACCAGAACTTGGTGGGGGAGGAGTTTGAGAGCTGGAACCCCAGGAGGTTTGGCAAGGATGTGGAAGCGAGAGTTAGAGACAGCACAAATTACCTCCCAGCCATGTAGGCACACAGGAGGCAGTGGTCCCAGGTGTTCCCCTTTGTATCTCCATGTTCCAGTTTGTCTAGGCTAATGGAGCAGGCATTGTCTGACAAATTTGGGGCAACTTTAGGAATCCACTTTGGCAATCATATCAAATATTTATTCCAACAAGAAAACATTGCATAATACATTTTGCCCATTTTTTGGTGGGAAGAATGCATGTGTATATGTATGTTAAAAAACAACTTGAGGGGGGCTTCCCTGGTGGCGCAGTGGTTGGGAGTCTGCCTGCCAATGCAGGGGATGCGGGTTCGTGCCCCGGTTCAGGAAGATCCCACGTACCGTGGAGCGGCTGGGCCCGTGAGCCATGGCCGCTGGGCCTGTGCGTCCGGAGCCTGTGCTCCACAACGGGAGAGGCCACAACGGTGAGAGGCCCGCGTACCGCAAAAAAAAAAAAAAACAACTAGAGGATATAAAATAAAATATTACTGTGGTTTAAAAAAGTTAATTTGAAAATCCTTGTAGACATCTCAATACTTTCACCCATCCTATATAACCAGAACTTCTGTCCTGGTTAATATTATGGTTACTGATGAGGGCAAGGTCTTGCATTCTTGAAGTTTCACTCTTGAGTTAGAAGAGTTTATCTCAGATCCATAGGAGACCAAGAACAGTGTTTACCATGATCACTAGCCAAGTGGCAATCCAAGCTACTCCAGAGGATGGGGCTGAAAGAACAAGAAAACACAAAACATTTAGGTGTCTTAGATTAATGTGTTGAGAAGGGGCAGGGGTACTGGACATTGGCATGGGAGTTTATAGAGCAGGGGAATTGTTTCCTCTTTCAATCCAGACCCAGTGTGCCTGGGACATCCTTTTCCCAGATTGAGCAAAGCTCAAACTCCCAGATGTAAAGTATAAAGGGTACAGAAATCCCTTAAATATCACTGGCTTAGCTGAGTCCTGTACTTGAAGGTTACCTTGGCACCTCTGTGGACCTGGGAAAGAATCACTCTCCTACACTGGGCAGCAATTAAGTAGGGCAGAACTTCAGGTGCAGTTAATAATATGATGCTATGCGCTAACTTTAAGGAAGGAAGTATTAGTTCCCTTCCCTGTTTCTCTACACTACTAACCATCAGTATTAAATAGGAGGAAAAAAGGGGTAGGAAAAAGAAAAAAGAAAGGGAAATAAAGAGATACAGAAGGGGAAGGCAGGATACTGATAAATTAGGGAAGAAGAATTAAGGATAGTTTTCTAGGATAATTTGGATGGTTAAAAAGTGACAAGATGGGCTTAGCCCTTCAAAAAATAGATGTATTATTGCTTTTATCCTCTCTGTGAATGAGCAGCCACTTTCATTCTATAAAGGACAGGGATTGTTTCTCTTCCTTTTTCTGGATCTCAGGATATGGTGGTGATATAAAGGTGGTGTTAGAACCACCCAGCCAACTGGTGGTCTTATGGTCAGACACCAAAGTGTCATACTGGGTCTATGGTGGCAGAAAAGCAGGGCGTATCAGTAAAGATTAGAAGAGACATGACCAGTTAGTTGGGAAGAATACTGAACATACAGTTTCCATAACTCATGTGTGGGAGCAGAGGTAAAGAAATCAGCACAGGTGGGCAGAGTAGATTGGGTCCAAGAAGACCATGAAAGAGCCATGTCTCCAGGGACCATGATCCCTGATGATTGGGTATGACAGGAATCTCAGGTAAATATTTGCACCACAGGTATGAGTTATTCTGGAGGGATTTGTACACCAGGGCTTGGGGATATGATTTCAGGCCTGTGGAGAGCACAGGGCCTGAAATGCTGAAGATGGTGATCCAAATTTATTAAGTGGTTGCCAAATCCCTAGTGTCTCTAGAATTAAAAGGATTGGGCCTAAGTTAACTACCATTCATTGAGGACTTGTTAGATACTGTGCTAGGTAGTTATCTGTATTGCCTCACTTAATCCTTATAACAGTATGAGATAAGAACTATTGTTTTGTCTTATTTAAGAAGGACATGACTTCATACAGAGTGAAGTAAGTCAGAAAGAGAAAAACAAATCCCCTAGGCTAATGCATATATACGGAATCTAGAAAAATGGTACTGATGAACCTACTGGCAGGGCAGGAATAGAGACGCAGACGTAGAGAAAGGACTTGAGGACACAGTGGGGGAAGGGGAGGCTGGGATGAAGTGAGATAGTAGCATTGACAGATATACACTACCAAATGTAAAATAGATAGCTAATGGGAAGATGATGCGTAGCACAGGGAGATCAGCTCGGTGCTTTGTGACCACCTAGAGGGGTGGGATAGGGAGGGTGGGAGGGAGGCTCAAGAAGGGGGGGATATGAGGATATATGTATACATACAGTGATTCACTTTGTTGTACAGCAGAAACTAACAACATCATAAAGCAATTATACTCCAATAAATATGTAAAAAAAAAAAAAAGAAGAAAGACATGACTTGGAGAAGCTAAGTAACTTGTTTAGCTAGTAAGTGACAGTCCCAGGATGAATCCCAGGTGTAACTGACTCCAAAACCTATGCTCATAGCTACCCCACTATGGGACCTGTGTAGGTTTGAGAGAGAACGAGGAGTGATGCTCTAATGAGTGGATCCTCCCAGGAGACAGAGAAATCTGAAACATGAAACCCAGAGTTTGCTTTTCCAACTTCATCAAGGAGCATCCAGCTGGGGAAGAACAGAAAGTCTCTACCTTAGGATCAGGCTCTCCTGTTCACCACTTGTTCTCGCTCATGCTCATCCAGTTGGTCATTTTTTCCTTCGCTGCCCACCATAAATGCCTCTGTGTTGCTGCCCAACAGTGTCTGGACTGTTCCCCTACTTGCCCTTTTTCTCCCTGCTCACCCTGAAATCTCAGATTATCCTGCAAGGACACTGGCCTCAGATTCCAGGACCATGCATTGTTAGAGCATGGCAGGAGAAGGGGAAATCAGAGCCCCTGTGCCAACTGCCCTTTGCAGATGAGGACCCTGAGCTCTACAAAGCCGAGGTGAGCTGCTGAGAGGCAGTGAACCCTCTCAACAAGGCAGTGAAACCTTAGAAAACCCAAGACTTCCATGCCTCACAGACGCCTTTGGGATTCTCCACTAATTTCTGTGCCAGGAGGCTGAATAAGATCTCCATGCTTTTCTCCCTTCAAGAGAAAACTAGTTACCCTGTGCCCACCTCAGCTCCCCTGGCAGTATCTCTTACCCAGTACACAGGGTGAAGTGAAGTTGACTGTGTTATTTTGGCTGCTCACAGGATTGCTGACTTGACAGGTATAAGAACTGGAGTAGTTTTGTGGTGCATGGGTCACTTCAAGCACACTGCTCTGGAACTCTTTTGGAAGGGACTCTGCATACCAGGTGTAGTTTACAGGCTGGTCCTGGATCACACAGGACAAGGTCAGGTAACACTTGTTCACTTCCTGTGTCTTCTTGACTTCTATGACAGGCTTTGGTACAGCGTCTAAAAATGAATATGTTAAGATGAGACAATGGGTTTATGCATTTATGAAGCATTTATGCTGGGAGGGTTTAGCCAACAAAGTACAAAGGGAGCCCCCAGAGGGCTGCAGGAACAGTCATGGAGAAGAGGCCCCGGCAGAGGGAGCCAGTGAGCAGCTTTGACCTCTGGAGGCTTCAGACTGAAAGAGCTACTCCTTGGAGTGAAGCTAAGCTGGATCCAGAAGGGGGAGCCATGCATCCAGAAACAAAAATGGGGTTATGACCATCTGTGGGCCAGAAAGAACAGCAGAGGTTTAGCATAGATATCAGAGGGGTTGGACTTGATATCCCAACTGTCTGAGCTGCTCAGGGCCCCTTCTCTAGCAATGGTCCACACTTGGCACCTTGGCCTATCAGTCCTTCAAGAGTTCTTGGGCTCAGACTCAGCAAGAGTCCTGGGGTAATGGGTACCACCCTATACCTTTCCTGGATGCTGGCAGAACTACAGAGAAGAACCTCATGGAATTCCCAGCAAAAGTCAGTAGTGATGAACAGCACTGCATCAGTTAACTTTGGTATATCAGTGCCAGCCACAGAGCAGGTATTCTATAAGTATCTGATGAAAGGGATAGGTGGATCGATGGATGGATGGATGGATGGATGGATGGATGGATGGATGGATGAATCAGTTATGCGATAGAAAAGACAAAACACTTGCTTTACAGTGAGACCAGCCTGGGTCCTGGACTTGGCCCTGGTAGAGTGACATTAGGCAAGATAATTAACCCCTTGAACTTCCTTCTTGCATGTAGGATGACTGCTTCACAGCACAATGTTAGCAATATACAATGCCATCATCCATGAGAAAGTACTTTTGCAGGGTGTAAACGTTACATGCATGTTGGAGGTCAGAGCATCATCACTGCTGTCATCCTGCAGCCAGATTGGTTGAGAGGTAATCCCATCATCTACTCCTTCCTTGACTAGGACTGCTTTACCTGAAATCCTCTGGGGTCTTTTCCTTCTGGTCAAGCATAAAACACAGAATCAATACAGCTCAGATGTCATAGGATTAAAATGTGGCAGAGAATTGACCCAACCAGTGCTGGCCTCTGGGTCGTATGTCTGTGAGGGGCAATGGAGACTCTGCCATCTGACCTTCTGAACTCTAGATCCATCTCCTCCGTGAAACCCTATCAGATTGCTGGACTCCTCCTGCATACTTTACATGAGCAATCTTCATACTGTCTTTCATCATTTCCTGTGGTCTGGACTCAAGTCTTGCATACGTTCCTCATTTCCCATGGTGAGCAGCACAGCCCTGAGCACATTGTGGACAGAGCAAGCTAGGGCAGACTGGCTCCAAGATGCCCCCTTTGAGCTGTCAGAAATTCCTGGGCTGGACTGAAGGATAATTCTTCTGCTAATCGCACCCTCAGTGTCTTACCCCTAGGCAAGTGTGCTAAAGCCAAGCCAGCTTGTGGATTTTAAGATATTCAGAAATTTTGCAAGCTGATTGTGAAACTATTAGCAGTTTGGAGGTGGCTGTGGTGGGAGTATTTACCACAGAATTTGGTAAATGATATAAATTTGGGATTTTTTAAAAAACCACTGTAAGAGCCTTTGAATCTTTCCTGTTCCCAGTACGTCTTGAATTTTCAGGCCATATGACATGGAGGAAGTGAGTGAGAAGGGGATTTTAGCCTCTTAGACCATTCTTCCTCCCCTTCAGCCCTCCTTGACTCTTCTAAACTCCTTGCATTGCTTTAAATAGTCCTAGTTTTCTTTTTTTTAAGAAATTCTTTTTTGCTAAAGGTACATCAAATTGGTCTCCATCGCTTGCCATCAACAGAATCTTACCTAATGGGGAAGAGATGGCAAGATCTTTCTCCAAGTTCACACAGCTAGTGAGTTACTGACCAGGGTTTTAAACCCAGGTCTGTCTGACTGCAAGTATAATGTTCTAGCCCTTACTTTACATATATTGGTTAGGCTGGCACTAGGAGTGGAAGTTTTTGACCCACCCATTCAGAAAGGTAAAAACACTCTTGAATGGCTCTTGCCCAATCCTTTATCTCTTCTATCTTTTTCCTTATGTTTGATGAAGTCTTTGTTCAGTTATGTTATTAAGAAGAGCTCAGAACTGATTTGGGTTGATCACAGGAGAGCATGAAGAGAATAGAGAGAAAACCATCCTTACTGTTTTCTTTATCTTCAAATCTTAGACTCCTTAATGTCAGAAGAGGTTTTAAATGTCCCAGAGTAATCTACTTTGAGTCTGGCTGGCCCAGCCTCACTTCCAAGTGGAACTGGCTCCAGGAGAAATGAATTAAGCCTATCCTGAGGTTTTTCCCTCCCCCTCCCAGGGAGAGTCCCCTCCCAGTGGTCTGTCCAGGGCCCTGGAATGGGGACTTGCCCTTTGGTTCCCCTAACTCACCAAGCACCACCAGTGAGATCTTCCAATCGTCCTCGTCCCCAGTGTCCTTCAGCACCATCAGGAGGTAAGTGCTGCTGTCCTCCTTCTGGACGTTATGGATGTGCAGTGTGCCACTTTGAAGATCAAGCCTGGCCCTGTCCTTAAATTTAGTATTGAAGTATTTAGGCTGACCGGATTCACATTCTACGATCTTCTGGTCAGTAGTATAAAACCAGGTGAGTGATTTGTAGTTCCTCGGCAAACTGGAGATTGGCAGACTCACGTTGCTGCCGGAGATGGCATATTTTGAATAATCTGTCAATGAGAGTCAGAGTGAGTGAGACCCATTTTTAAAAGGCAGAGCTGCCCAGTGGCCCAGGCTTTGGCCACTTCTTTGGAACAAAGAAGGAAGAGCCTTTGGCTTGGGAGCAGTGAGTATGATCTTTATCAGAGGGCCTGACCCCTGACCAGGAACTCAATGATAGTCAGAGCTTGAGAAGTGGGCATGAGGACAGGAGATGTGCTTATAATCCGTCTAATTCTGCCCTAGACAATAAAGAGAAAGGACACTGAGCCAGCCCTGGCTCTCTCTCTTACTCTCATAACAGGACATTTTCGAAGAAAATGATGACGAGTCACATCTCCTCTCTGTGCTTGTGTTCCTTGTGGTTCAATTTAGTTCTCCAGCAGTAGGTAAGAAGTAAAGGAGAAACAAGGTTAGAAATGAAAGGGAACCAGAGTTAGTCAGTGGCAAAGTATTATAGGAGAGTGAAAGCATTTTATTAATAAAACTATTGTGCTACTTTTCTGGCTTTTGTGATTTTTGTATGTCAGCTTTTTAAAAAAACTTGTGATACACTGGGCTTTCTTTTCTCATTCTAACTACATTCATTTTTGCTCCTATTTGTATTTACAGTTCTGTTCTCTTTCTCATGAGGGCACCCCAAATTGTATAAGCCTCAGTTCTAAAAAACCTGGTTTCTTGAATGCAAGGAGAAAGAAAAGGTGATAGCCAGAAGACATAAGATGAAGGGAGGTCTGCTAAATCTCTCTGTGGAGGGAGGAAAACTAAGTGTAAATGTATAGGCTGAGAAAGGGAAGTAGAAAAAAGCTAATGGTAGAGGAAAGAAGAAATATGATCTATATCGCTCTTATCTCATATACTGTCACACAAAGCTTCATATTGTTTAACATCGTATCTATACCTATTTACTTTCCACATGTCTATCATTTCCAAAAACATTCTTTTCAATAAAGATTCAAAATGCCTGTGTCCCCAGGTCTTTCAAGTTCCTAGTCACTGATCCTTCCAACCATCTATCTATGCATTCAAAAACCAGTTATGGAGCATTTAATCTATGCCTGGTGCATTCACAAACACATACAGGCATTTATTTCCACAGTGCTTCTGATTGATCCATTCCATACTTTATAATCTCTGACAGCCTAGGTCAGTGTTTTTCAACCTTGGCATTATTGACCTTTTGGACCAGAGAATTCCTTGTTGTGAAGGGCTGTCCTTGTGCATTGTAGGATATTTAGCAGCCTCCCTGGCCTCTGCCCACTAGATGCCAGTAGCATCATTCCAGTTGTGACCATCAAAAATATCTCCAGATGGGCTTCCCTGGTGGCGCAGTGGTTGGGAGTCCGCCTGCCGATGCAGGGGACACGGGTTCGTGCCCC